GAACAATCTTTGAAATCGTATACACTAGCTTTAATACTATGAAATATTATTACAATTTAACATAATTGTTTTCTAGTTTAATACATTTAAAAATGTAATTTATTCCTGTTATGTCAAAGCTGAATTTTCAGCATCATTACTCTAGTCTTCAGTGTCACATGATCCTTCAGAAATCATTATAATATGCTAATTTGCTGCTCAAGAAACAGGTATTGTTATTAATAATAATGTTTAAAACAGTTTTTTGCTGTTTAACCTTTTTTTGTGGAAGCAACGATCCCGTTTAAACATTTGTGATAAGATTAAAAAAAAAAGAAATTAATACTTTTATTAATCAATGATGCATTAAAGTGATCAAAAGTTACAGTGAAGACATTTAAAATGTTACATACAGCACATGCTTTAATAAATTTAATAAATGCAAATAAACGCGGTTCACTGAACCTTCTATTTATCAAAAAAATTATGTATTTTGGTTCAAATTAATGCAGCCTTGGTGAGCATAAGGTACACTGTAAACGATTTCTGTTGTTTTCACAGGATTATAATGTTTTTGTCAACAGTTTCTTACTGTATAATCTATGTACAGTAAGTTACAGTAGATTTAGTTGTGTACTGTGCACACAGTTGACAGTATGTTACTGTAGAATTTCAATGCATTCTGGGAAATTATCAGTTACTGTTAATCTAAATACAGCAGTGCAAATTGACCGTGAAAAACTCCACACACAGTTCCATGTAGCACTGGGCCAGTGACCATTAACAGTCTTAATTCAGTGTGCATGAGAGCACATTTGAATTTTGAAAGAGTTTGTCGTGTCAGTGGTGCCGCTGTCTTTTCTGCCGACCTGGAACTTCTTCATCTGGTAAGTACTGACCACAATTTCTGTATTCAATTTAATCTGTTCTAGGCATTTTACTATAAGATGTGTACAATATGACACTCTTCAATGTAACCTAGGGACATGTTACTGTCAATTTAAATACATAAGTACGAAATGACCGCGAAAAATAACCACAACAAGCTGCCATTTTATGAAGAACTTTTCAGTTCCCTTCCCTCTGTGAGAGCGCGCAGGCCGTGAATCGCGTCGCTGTTGTGGGCAACGTTTTCGCCATAGCCTACATATGATGTATCTGGTTAGTAATTTTATATTTTATGCAAACCATATCAGTTACTTACATTAACGGATTAACGTTAGACAGAACTGGCCGCGGCATGAACTATAACGTCTGTATAAGTCAGACGTGGATATCTTTAATGTTGATAGCCTAAGTTACTTGATTAAATGTGATTTTATTAACATATATATCATACAGTATATAAGTTAGCCTCTTATAAGGTCTAAACAGTCTAATCAGTTTTGTTATTTACCACGTTATGTCAGTGGAAACGCCTGCACGTTTATTATTATTTTATAGGGTTGGGAATTGAAAAATCGATAAATGTATCCTGAAATCGGATATCCAAGGTTAGGATTCGGATTATTGTTATAAAATTAAAGTTTCGATTCCTCTTATTGATTTTTTCATGCTTATTTTCGTGTAAATCCTGACCTGGCAATCTGCCATTTAAGTTAACGTTAATGTTTACCTCAGTGACGGTCTCTATCTGATGGACCACAGCGCCCAAAAAGTGCAGTTTTGTCCAAATACAAAGCTATGTGTGACAGTATTGTCTGCTATAATATCGTAATTGTTTTTATAACTATGTGTAAACTGACATGTAACGTTACGTTACTCATTTGAAGGGAAAGACGCCATGTCAAGCTTTTTTTGTCATACGATGTAACTTAGTATCACACAAGCAAGCTTGATGTTTTCACGTGATCATAAATGAATTGATTTTAAACAGTCCAACAAACAAGATGTTAGTATTAAGTGAATTTCACTTTAGACATAATTTTTTTCTGTTTAGCTAAAAACAACAACAACAAAAACGTTTTTACTGTATTTTAATTGTCTTGTCTGTTCTCCTTTTCCACAGGTGTGAGCTGTGCTTATTAAGAAGACCCCATCCATCTAGATGACCGATGAATTGTAAATCTAGTCTAGTTTAATTATTCTATTTATCCAACTACTACTACTATACCTTGGTCCAATACTGACCTACTGAGAACATTTTAAACAGATTATTTGCCATCTGCGAATTTTGAACAGATAATTGCCTATATGCAAGTTGTTAAGAATTGTTCTGTGAAAATACAATACAATACACAATAAACGTTGTAGTACAGTTTAAGGTTCAGTTGCATAAAAGCTTCGATAGAGAACTTCCTATTGCAAATGTTAGAAGATTAAGTCTGCATATAAATGATTATTAATACCGTAATGCAAGTTTTTCATGGCACATGTGCATGATGAGGTTGATCTGTGTTTAGATTTTTTTAAAGGACACTGGATAACAAATTGTCATTTTGTAATACTCATCTGGATTGGTGGTTTACTCGTCAAAGCTAGTTTATACATGTCTCCCAGCCCTGCAAATCTGGTCCTCTAGTTAGAAAGCAGTCTGACCAGTTAGACAGTCCATCTCAAACCAGTAGACCATCTTGGACTAGTTTCAGCTGTTTTCCCCCTTTCTAATAGATTGATCAGATAGCGCCTCTTTAATCTTTTCTATTTTACCTGTTCATTATCATTTTTTGCATGAATTGAAACGCATGAGTGTTCATGATTGTCATGCATGATTTTTATTGTATTATATTACATTATTATTATTCATGTATTTAATTTTATTCATGTATTTAAATGTACATATGTAAATGTACATTTACTGATGTAACTTGCTAATGTGTTTAAAATACACAATAAACCTTGAGCAGTTAAAGCTTCAATTGTTCTTTTTTCTATTTCCCATTAACAGTTAAAATAATATTTCTATATAGGATTTTCTACATATTCTACAGGTTACACAGTAGGACTATAAAATAAATACAATAACATTTAATAACTGTATAATACTATACAGTATTATTAAAAATTAACAGTGTAATACTGTACTTTAATATGGTAAGAAATTACAGTAAAATAATGTTATTTGATTTCAAAGTATGCTTAACAGTACTGTAGTTAGTGTTACAGTAATTTTACTGTTGAATGAAATACAGCAAGTACTGGATAATTGTTGCCAGTAAGTTACTGTTAATTTGACAAGAATTTTTTTACAGTGTACTTGTAAATGTTTCCAAATTCCAAACCTTATTGTAAAGTGTTAGCAACTATTCCATGTATTTTTCTCTCTCCATAAATTCATGTAATATTTGCGTTTCATTCATGTATGACTGACAAATATGTATCACTTTAAGTTGATTAGTTAAAGGGTACATATCATGCTTTTAAATCATTCATTTTTACTTATAAATCATACATTTGTGGTCTATATAAAGCATAACTGCAATGCTTGGGTCTGAATTCCTCATTATTATAGCTCCACAGGCCCCTTTTCTACCCCTTTTCTGATGTGGTCTGTGAGCGACCCATTTCAAAGCGGCCCCTTTAAATAAAATAAAGTTGCGTCTTTCCCCGCCCGCTCTCCAGGTCGCTGAGTTCACACTCAGTTCAACTCCCCGCGTTCGCCCATTATTGTAGTTTGATAAGAGATATACGATTATATACTATAGCTTCAAAGGACATTTTTAGTCACTCGTTAACAAAATGTCAACAACGGAAGACTTGTCCATCAAGCCTTACATATTCGAGCCAGAGCGAGCAATTTGAAAAAGACGACGACGACGAACCTGCAGAACAACGTCTTCATATGGATCCAGGGGTATGTAACGTTAAGTTATCTATGTTGTGTTATTAGTGAAAGTCGACTATTTCTCTTGTTAAAACAAGCACACTGACAAGATAAATGACTACGGTCCAATCTTACCACTAAAAATCTGTATTAATAATAATATAATAACTTACGTGTAGAAAAGCATCAGAAAACACAGCAGCTAAATGATAGAAGGAATTTACCCCTCATTCAGACGAAGTCGATCGGCAAACACTTCTGTATACAACAATCGGAGTTTGTTGAAGTGGGGATCCTTGAAGTGCTTCAGGTCACTACATCCAAGAATCGAACATTTTGACTTGCCCTCTTGTAACTTCTGCATCATTGAGCTTGGACTACAAAATCGGAGCGAGAAATAATAATGGCGGATTGCTCGAAGTGTTGGACCGGTAGTCAATGTCCTTATTTGTCAGTTCCGCTGCAAATACTGTGACGTGATAGTTCAAAAAACGTCATAGAGAACAGAAAAATCTGAACAGGTTGAAAAATATGACCAAAACAGAATATACAGACATAAACGAAGCACCTGAAGAGAATAATTTCATCTTTTCTGTTCCAAATATACAACAAAATGCATTTAAGGGCTAACAAAGTGGATTTTGCATGATATGTCCCCTTTAATGTTGAAACTGCGTAATCCACATGGATTGAAATTTAAATGTAATTTAAATACATAGATCTTAAATGTACTGTAGGCCTAAATATTTATGAGGGTGAGAACATGATGACAGAATGTTCACTTTTGTCTGAATTGTCTTTTTGAAGTTTTAGCAGCCTTAGCAGCCTCTGTTACAGAAGATAATCGTTCGTTCATCTGAGTTTTCATGCCAGGTAACTCGAGCAGGTGCGACATGCTCTTAAGGGGACTGAACAGGAAGTGCGAGTGACAGGATGTGAGGTGGGTTTCAATGGGTGTGAGAGCACTCGTGCTGCTCAAACCTGGTCAGTAAAACTGATCAACTGGAATGAATTAAGGCCGTACACTACAGCCTGAATTCACAACTGGGAAGCTGCAGAGATCTGGTTCAGTGTCTTCATTCACCGTCATTTAATGTTGCTCCAAACCCGTTTCAATTTTACACATAAGACTTGTGTCTTACGGGCTTGGAACGACATGAGCGTGAGTAAATGATGACAGGATTCTACCGATTTCTGCAGCTGGTCTGGCTGTAGAGCACTGGCCTAGAGAGATGTTAGAGGAAACCTGTCCACACACCTTGCAGAAGACCACAGTCCCTTCCTCCTGGTGCAAGAGCCCAGAGGAGACGGGAATGACAAGAAACAAGGATATTGTCATAGTTGGAGAGGTTTATCACATTTATAGTAGAGAGAGAAAAGCATTACAACACATGCAAAATTCACAAGGGATGTTAAGTTGCGTTCACATCATGACAGAAATCCCATAATTATGAGGAAATCCATGAGGAATCATTTATTTCTATGATAACACTGGATGTCAAATGGATCAAGGTGGGGCTTTGTTGTTCATGACATCATAATATTTGATCATACATTAATTAACCTAAATTCTTGTGAAATACCCCAAATAGATTTTTCCTGATTTTCTGTTTTCCAATGGTTCTTGAACTGTCAATGCTAACCAAACAAGCAACAGTGTTTCCTGCATCACTATTTAGCAGCATGTTCTGCTAATGGATCTACAATTTTCAATTCTCAATTGAATGTGGTTAGATAAAAAGTCTAGCTTATGCAAAATAATACTACGACTATAATCAGACAGCAAGTGTTTGATCTGGTTGCGAAAAACAAAAACATGCAAACAATCAACCAGGAGTTTGTTTCCCAAAAGAATCGTTAGCCAATTAGGGTCGCAAGTTCCATCGCCCTAGTGAAAAAAAAGTATACTTTATTGTATTTGAAATATATTCCCTTTATTCATATAACTTGTGCATCCTGAAGCACGTATGGAATCAGTCTAATGGAGAGACGAAACGGTATAGGCAGGTGACGTCATCGACCAGGAAACGTCCCAGGTTACGTATGTAACCCTAGTTCCCTGGAGGGCTGGACGCTGCATGTAATCGCAGCGGGAACGCCTCCAGAGTAGTGTGTCTGAAGCATGAATGAAATCAGTCAATGGAGAGAAAGAGCGTCACACTGAGTGATGTCATCGACCAGGAAACTATAAATCATAAGTAGAATCATAAGCACGCCAGCTTCTGATGTTAATGAAGCAAGCGATCCAAGGGGATACCGGGAGAATGGCAGGACACGCAGCGTCCGTCACTTCGGGGAACTAGGGTTACATACGTAACCTGGGACGTTCCCCTTCAGGGACTACCACTGTGTGTAATCGCAGTGGGAGCGCAATACCCACATCCCCATACGAACAAGTCTCTGTAGTGTGTGATCAGGAGACACAAGCCGACGAGAGAACCTGAGCCCCAGGAGTGGAGCTAAAATCAAGAGAATAAAATCTGACGAAAGTGTGCGGTGAGGACCAGCCTGCCGCATCACAAACATATTGAAGAGAAGCCCCTGGAAGAAGAGCTCTAGAGGCAGCCATACTCCTAGTAGAAGGCTGACCAACCGAAGCGTAAGCAAGTGAGATGGCCTCGACCACCCACTTGCTCATCCTTTGCTTAGATGCAGGACACCCCTTCTTAGGTGACCCGAAACAGACAAACAATTGTTCCGATTTCCTCCACCGGGCAGCTCTGTGGACATACGCATCTAAAGTCCTAACGGGGCACAGCAAATTAAGTTTCTCCTGGTCTGACGTCAAAAAAGGCGGAAGACAGAAAGCCTGCAGTACTATAGGTCTAACAGAAGTACCTTTAAGTACCTTAGGAACATAACCTGGTCTCGGACAGAGGAAGGCCTTAACCATATCAGGAGCAAATTCCAGGGACCAGGGAGCCACAGAAAGTGCTTGAATATCTCCTATTCTTTTTAGAGATGAGATAGCGAGAAGAAGGATAGTCTTAAGTTTAAGACATTTTTTAGAAAATTCCTCGATGGGCTCGAAAGGAGCTAGGGAGAGACCTTCTAAGACAATGGCCAGATCCCAAGATGGTACACTCGTGCGAACTGCTGGCCTCAGTCTCAAGGTGCCACGCAGGAATCGATATATAAGTGGGTATCTCCCAAGGGAACCTCCACTCAAAGGGGTGTGGTAAGCAGCCACATACACCTTCAGTGTGGAGTGGGATAACCCCGTGGAGAGACGGTCTTGCAGGAATCCCACAGAAAGCCCACAGCCTCTATAGTTCTGGGCGGGGGTGAAGGATTGACCCACTCGCCTGAGGCCCCAATATTGCAATATTGCTGGATGTTGTAAGTATTGGTTCAGGGGATAATAAGGATTTGCAATTATAGGCAGAAGTCTAAAGTGAAATCTAAATTAGATGAAAGATTTTTGCCTTCCTGCATGCAACCTCCACGCCAGTGCTTACCATTTTTACCCAAACTCCACACTGAGGTGTCGAATGCCTGGAAGAAGCCGGTTTCCTGACGTATTTTTAGTCCCCAGACTAACAAAGCTGTCTAACCACCTGTAACTGGTAAAGCCATAAACTTGATGGACCTTCTAATTGCAACTAATCCGACTCATAATTACGGCAATTCGACATGTCATGAACGCATCTTTCCAGCAAGGGATGTGCTATAACTTAACTCAAACAGTTAGTGGGGAAGCATTGTTGTAGAGTGTTGAAGTAACAGGATTAGATTACTGACCTGTTTTCCTCCCATGGACTCAAACATCTTCTCCAGCTGAACTCTGAGCTGCTGGATGTTGTTCAACAGGATACAGGACTGTCAGGAGAAGAAAGATAGACAAGATATTTCATGATTAATTGACTGTCTTCCTTTCCACATTCATTCGGACTTCAAAACCCTCCACCATCCTAATGCAAGGGGATGTTTTTTACTTGAAGACTTTGTAAATATATAAACACGGGCATTGATTCGTATGGATGCTGATGATGATGGTGGTTGCTGACATGAGTTTGCACATATTGCTTCCATCAGTGACAGTAAATCTGAATTTCATTACATAAAATCTATGTCTTCACCTCTTTAGAGAAATGGCAGAATTACACAATTGAACATTCAACGTGTTCAATTGAAACGCCCATTCCTTTTTGAAAATAATGCACAACAAAGGTGTTATTAAAGCATGTTTCTTTTATATCTTATATTCAGTAGGTTGCCCTAATGCATCACATATTTTCACTATATATACTGTATATATATATATATATCAGTGGCGTGCGGTTCATATAAGCTGTGAATGTTCTGCATAGCTAACAACTCACGAGGAAAAATGTGCTGCTGCTGCCAGATCTCGATCAACGAAAATCACATTGTATTTGATGCAAAACAGTGAAAACCCTAACTGAAACTACTTTCATAGTATTTGTTTTCTCCATGAGGAAAATCATTTTGTATATATATATATATATGTGTGTGTGTGTGTGTGTGGCAGGATGGGCTATTACCCCTCCTATTTTCGTGATTTAAGGTTTGGCCAATGGACTGTGACCATGGGTGTAAAAAAGAACGGTGTGCCAGTCGTAGGTGTCACTTTCGGGGGCCCATGATGTCATTGATTCGCCAGTCCTATGTCAGTCCTAAAGACCACTGAAGCTTCTAACCACTGACTCGTGTTGTTTACTGGACGTGTTGCCGGTTGGGGAATCGAAAGTGGACATGCTCCGAGGCTCTGTGTCTCATAATAAAGTTGCTGTTCTGTTTCCAGTTCAGAATTGTTCTGTGTTTAGAATGGGGCTGATGTGCTTCCAGTAAACTTTCCATGTTGCTTTTAATTAGGATTTTCGTGCTTTCTGAGCTCTGGTTACAGAAGTGTGTCTCAGTGTTATGCTTTAAGTTTCTTTTGTTTCCCTTTTCTTGTTTATTTCTTTAATCAGTTTCAAACACCTTGGTATTTCTGAATTTGTATTTTGGTTTCAGTTCATTTACTGTGATTATTGAGTATACATTGATTTCATTTAACTATTACTACGGTAGAGCTTTACAGCCAAATTTATTTAGTTATTTGTTTATATTGTTCTTGAATTTGAATTTTGTTCATGCTTTGGTTTCTTTGTTGTTTGTGATCTTGATTTGTGCAGACCCAAGATGGGACTGAGTAGATGGTTCCTTACTGGAACTGCCTTTGAGTTATACGTTGTATTGTCAAATTATTGTTTTGCTTATGCATCTCTGCTATATTTTTAATGTCTCTCTCTCTCTCTCTCGTTGTCGGCAGGGTCCAGGCACCTTCACTCTGTGTCGTTCTCTTCGCTGACATTTTTCAATTTTCATTATTTAAGGGTGATTAATCTATATGAGACTGGCCCTGTTGGTGAGCCCCAGTGATAATTGAACCTTCTAATGAGATGAGTGTGGCTGTCTGTTAATGCACTTTTTTATAACTGTCAATACATTTTTTGTGTGATTACCTATGTCTCTGGCTCTAATGGTGACTAGAACCTGTGCGTGCCTTTAGAGGGCGCGTTTAATTCCTTGGGTGAAATTCCCAAGGTGGCGTAGTCGGAAACTAATATCAACTTGAGTTTGCTGAGCACGTGTATAAATGAGTGCTCTGCCCTACCCTATAACACTCGCTTTGCCACATACACAACAGTTCTTTCTGGTTCTTGAATCTGACTGGCTGAGAGCCTTTCCAGCACACAGTAACAGCTCTCTGAAGGTTTCACCATTTGTATCACTCCGCTTGCGGCGACTATCATGGCGGTCGAGCAAATCCACCATCATTTTTAAAAATACTACTGTCGTTGTGTCATGAAATTTAGTTTTTGGTGAGAAATTAGTTATTAAGTCCTCAAATATGTGAGTAATATATAATCATTGTTCCTATTTTACAATCTGTTACAGTGAATGTCAAATTGTCACACTGACCAGACTTGTGTTGACACACATATTACCTAAAGATACGGCAGTCAAAACACTTGTGTAAGTTTCCCAGGATTTGACTGGATGGGTAGGAGTGCATAATTAGTGCAGGAGTCTATAAGCTAATTAAAACGGGCTCTTACTGTCTACACTGGCACACTTCTTAAAGGTCACATGTCAGCCGTGTGAAAAATAGGTGTAAAGCTCTGAAATGAAAATATGAAGCAGTTGCCTAATTGAAATGAGGGAACATCGTCTCAATGACAAGAGCTGGTGATTTCACACAGTCGTAAATTTAATTTAAGACAATGTATATAAACTCTGATGTCGCTGATTTATGGGCATTGGTGCGTTTAAAGATGTAGATATTCTTAGGATGAAGTGTGCTGTCAATTAAGCGATGGATGAGACCCGAGGAGCGGCTCTATCCTCTGAGACAGAACAGAGATATGTCTTTAATTACCGGCCGCATGATTTTCTCTCTGTGGTCCTGTCACTGCACTTAAAAGATACATCTGTCTTTCTTCCCACCACAGACGTCCTGCATGCCAAGCTTTTATAAGCATTACATAAAAACACTGTGAAAAATAAGAGGTAGAACAAAAGCTGCTCTGAGTTAGCGCCGTGAATGCTGTCATTTTACACAAAGAAAGGGAAGTTAAAAGCAAAGAGGAAGGAGACGATGCTCTTTATTTGTCGTCTACATATTCCACTCTCACAAAGACATAATGCAGAACGCAGCCAAAGTCAAATTTAATGTCTTACTATGGTCTCCGGGTTGGTTTCCATGGCAATGTCCCCAGTGTAATCTGATCAAGCCTTGTTCGGACACTTACAGGGTCATGACTTTAAAACATGCTGACATTTTATGACGAAGCAGTTTTGCAAGTGTGTGTGTGCAAACCTGTTCATAGACTCACCAAGTTCTCCTTGTTCAGATGGTTGCAAAAGTCTTTGGAGATGATCGCAGCATATTGGAGAAGAACTTTGTTTATGGTCTGTAAAGAGAGTTAAATGTAGATTTAAATATTATAAAAAACAGTACAATTTAACTTTATGAAAGCAATAAGTTGGGAATGTGGTGCTGTTATCATTTACAAATCTAAAACACATATGTACATAAACTACCAGTCCAAATGTTGCTGAAAGTAGTCTCTTATGCTGATTAAGACTGCATTTATTTGATAAAAAATATTGTGAAAAATTATTACAATTTGAAAGGGAAAGGGAATAAAACTCTTAATATATTCATAAATATGTACATAAGTAAATGAGTGGAGTAATGACATGCGTCTTCTCAGGCCGCCGTAATAGATTTCTCTTGTCAAGTGTGCATGAAGCAATCAATGCCTCCTACAAACCCTTTACCCACAATCCAGTGGGTGGAGAGCTGGTATCAATCTTTCTCTGTCTCTCTCTTTTTCTCTCTCAGCTCATTTGCATTCAAAGGAAACATTTACAATAGGAAAATATATAAGCTGTCATAATCTGCTATGTGTATACACTACTGTATAGAGTATACACTAAGAAAAACAATCACCATATTGATAAGTTGTCTCAGTAGATGTTTTAATTTGATAAACATCATTATTAGTATTGCTTATAGGTTAAGTGATGTCATCAAACTTCTAAAACTGGCAAACATCGTGGCTTCACAGGGCAAAAACTTTCTGCATTTTTACATTTTCAAAAAATATAAAAAATTCAAAGACCAAAAAATGTCCCGACAAGGATTTTGGAGATTAAGGATTTTGGAGTATACCTGAACCTCACACACGTACAAATGAACTTTTGAACTTTCTATTCCTCAAAGAATCACGTTTTCCACAAAAATATGAGACAGCACAACTCTATTCAACATTGATAATGATCAGAAATGTTTTTAGAGTAAGCGACTGTAGGTTTCCCCTAAAAGTGTAACACTGCAGTGCTTTCAAAACATTGCTCTATTCATTTGATAATCCTAACTAATATTCACAATTCCTTTTGGTGATACTAGTGGGGCAAAAATTATACTACTTGACATTTAAAGAAAATCAAGTAATGGTGCAAAAATACACCCTAAAAATTCCCAGCCAACAAAGGTCTGGATTTATGCCTACTTTCAAAGCTTTTCTCCATCATTTGTTCTATTGATCATGTTATGCTCTCAGCTGCTAGGCAACCATATGACAACCTACAGTTAGTGTAATGTTGATTGGCGAAAGAACCGATTTTTTTTTGTGTGTGTGTGATTATTATTGTTAATTTATGTAATTTTTTATTGAAGATCGGTGTCTTTTATCATACTGCCACCGAGACTATGCAAGTATGATTTTACCACATTTAAGTTTTTTTTACATCACAGGAACATGCAAAATCACCAATGCACAGCCTCAAAAGACAAACTTTCTATTCTGATGTTGTCTTACCTTTGCAAATCTGCGCATGAAGTGAGCAAGAGCTTGAGGGTTCGGACACTCCAGCTTCTTAATGATCTCAAAGCTTTGGTTCAACTGCGTGAACACATCCACCACCGAGCAAGAGAAGAGAGCATGTTCTGATGTCTGCTGGAACTGTAATGATAAGACAAAAATCAAAACATTAATGATTGTGTCCGCCACACAATAAAGAGGATGTCAACATTGATTTGAGAAGAGTTCGGGGAAGCTCGGGTAGATCTGTTTGCCTCCCACGACTCTTCCCATTGCAGCCTGTTTTATTCCCTGACCGAGGGCAGGCTCGGCACAGATGCACAGCTGGCTGCAGGGCCTCCGCAAGTATGCGTTTCCCACAGTGAGCCTTCTCACACAGACCCTGTGCAAGATCAGAGAGGACGAGGAGCAGGTCATTTTGGTTGCGCCCCACTGGCCCACCCGGACCTGGTTCTCCGAACATGTACTCCTCGCGACAGCACCTCCCTGGCCAATTCCTCTAAGGAAAGACCTCCTTTCTCAGGGACGGGGCACCCTATGGCACCCTCGTTCCGATCTTTGGAACCTCTACATTGAATTTGTTGTCTTGTGCGTACTATAAATCCATTGCTTTAATATAAAATCTGTGCAAAACTGTTCAAAATAGAACTGTAAAGACGATTTAAAACTGATTTGCACATGACACCTCTTGAATTAGACTACAGAAAATTGCATTCATATTTCAGACATCTTTGTTGTATTGATTGTCTTGTGCATACTATATCCATTGTATTAATAAAACAATATTTGGTAACACTTTACGGAAAGGGTACATAAATTCATTAATGCAAGTTCAACGTTTTTCATTCATGACTTCATGGATGAACAACACCTTAATTAAAACATTAACTAAGATGAGGACATCATCATAAAGACCAACGCCACTTTTGCGTCATCGAAGGGTAACGCCCCCTTTTGGGGGAAAACACCTCTATACTGTCTATGGGAAAACAAACGGATTCCCATGAGAACAGAACTCGCACTAGATCTGCAAAGTTTCTTGATAGCAAAAATGGCACAAACTTAAAGAAGCTAACGTTACTGAATACGGGGTTACAGAGGTGTCCCTTCGAAATGGTCGAAAACTGGATTAATGACCCCTCACAGCGGCCAAATATGGACTATTCAGACATCTAACGATACCACTATCTCGTGGAATCGCCAAGTAAGCACGTAGCCTTTTTTTTTCATTAACACACAGTATGACAAACTAGACGATGAATGGATCATATTTAACTTGATTTAAGCTATTGACATAGTCTAATAAGGTAACGTTAGCTGCTAACAGCTTAGTCTTTCTAATAGCTAGTCGACAACAAAACTGTCAATAGCGTAAATCAAGTTAAATATGATCCAAGTGACATGGCCTCATCGTCTAGTAGTTTGTCATAGGCTACTGTGAGTGTGTAAATGATAAATAAATAAATAAAAAAGGCTACTGGTGATTCCACGAGATAGTGGTATCGTTAGATGTCTGAATAGTCCATATTTGGCCGCTGTGTGGGGTCATTAATCCAGTTTTCGACCATTTCAAAGGGACACCTCTGTAACCCCGTATTCAGTAACGTTAGCTTCTTTAAGTTTGTGCCATTTTTGCTATCAAGAAACTTTGCAGATCTAGTGCAAAAGATCTAGTCAAGTTCTGTTCTCATGGAAATCCGTATGTTTTCCCATAGACAGTATAGAGGTGTTTTCCCCCAAAAGGGGGCGTTACCCTTCGATGACGCAAAAGTGGCGTTGGTCTATACTTCTGCATATCGCTGTTGTCTTGGGACGTCGCCGCTGAACTTTTTTTTGACGGCGATCAGCTGTAAACTGGCTTGGTCCTGCTCGGTTTTCGTTGACTTTGAATAAAACAATTGAAAGTTTTTCAAAAGATCCCCTGGGGTCAATGTGTCAGCGTGACAGAAGTTTGATGCTGTCGTGTGAGAACAAGCAACAGCTGGCATTTTTCCTCCTCCCGAGTGCCTCATCTTAATCTCCTCGCGTAAATTATGCGATTTTGATGCCTTTCTTACCCCCCGCAAAAACCACCACAGGTTCATCAATTCTTCATTCGTCAAAGTTATTCTTTTTTTTTTAGTTTGTTTGTTTGTTGACCGAAAAATACAAAATAGATAAGAAAACCTAGAAAGCCGGGTGTATTTAAAGTGCTGCTGTTACTGTTTACATTGCGTGGAATGGTGCGTTTTGATTGGTTGAGCGGATGTATCGCATTTTGCAGAGAAGGGAGACTGGCATTTGTCTCGGTTTGGAAAGAAAGGGAGAAAACATTACATACTAACATGGCGGATATCACATTTTATGTAAAATTAATCATTGACTTTTCAATACTGACCAGATACTATACAGATTTTTGGAGTAACTCAATTTTTAAAAAAATGGCGTATATCACGTTTTGGAACCAAACTCTTCATATATATATCAGTGATGCGCGGGTTGATCCGAAATGAGCGGGTGCCTGCGGTCACCCGCGGTTACCCGCAGTTACGGGTCATCCAAAAATGTTTTTAATGATATTCGGGTCGCGGTCGGTCGGGTCGTTTGAAAAAATATGCCAATTAAACATTTGTATTTAGTACTAGACACAATTTTTTATGAAATATACAGCCCTACACATTATTGGCTGAATAACTGGCACGAAGATAACACACAAGCTCAGTCTAAACAGTTCTCGGTTCTTTAGGTGATTGGAGAACCGCTGTCCCTGTGCGTTCGGTAGTACGCAGTATCTATGCGCAGTATCAGCTGCTCGTGCTCATCACTTCTCTCAACAGTGGCACCAACATGTCTCGGTTCAGTGAACTGTTGGAGTTACTGGAGTAAAATATAATTCAGGATATTGATTTATTTCGATTCGGAGGCGACTGTCAGGCATGTCTGAAAGTGAGTAACTTTAGTAACTTGTGGATCAGCACTGACGCAAGACGCGAACTGTTTCGAACGATTCAGTTCGAGTGTACTGGTTCGATCGGTTCACTAAAAAGAACCGGTTCAAAAGAACGATTCGTTCACGAACCGGCCATGTCTATGATCACTACAGTCTGCAGAGAGATGGAGGCGGCAAGAGAAAAGGTGAAGACTGGGGAGTGGAAGCTCCGCAAATACACAAATAGAAAGAGTAAAAGTGTGGGAGACATTTGCTGAAATAATGAAAGATGATGACCAAAGTGCTGCCTTTGCCTTTGTTATGTGTAGGCCTACGTCTTCTTGCGATGCCGTGTTGTTACACGTCTATGGCCCAATAACGCTCCGATGAGCATTTAAAAAAATGCGGTCAGGAAGCGGGTCGGGTACAATGTTTTTTTTTTTTTACTTTTTTTGCAGTCCGAGTTGCGGGCGGGTAGCTGAAAACGTCGGTCGGTTGCGGGTTGTTTATACATTGACCCGCGCATCACTGATATATATATATATATATATATATAATCCTTGTATTCTGTCTTGTGTGACACACCTGAATGAAAGGCTCATTATGCAGGTCTTTGTCTTCTCGCGTGAGAACCACCTAATTATTGTTGAGGGGGTTGGGCCACGCATATTGCCAAACAAAAACATTTTTTTCACAATTTAAAACAATCTATTGTTTTGTGTGAATGATTAGGCAGGGTGATTTTCAGATCATTTTGAAGCAAAAACTACATATTTAATGTGTTTTGTGGGCTTATTTCAGAAACTTTAATTTTTAGTTTTTTCAATAACCATGCATAAACATTATTCTCTCAAAAATACAAACATGTACATACATGTTGCTCATATATTATGGTAGACATGTTTGATTGAGTGTAATTTCACCTGTGCCATTAATGTTTATAAGCAACTGAAAAAAGCACAAATGTCAGGGCATGTCAAAACATCTCAAGGACCCCAAAAACATATTAGACCCCAGAGGGTTAATAAAAAACACAGACTGTGTATTCATATTTAACCTTTTTAAACATACATGTAAAATATTTTTCAAGGCGATCATTATTTAAAACGTATCACTTTATTTTTTCCATGATGACGCGTCATTGTTTGTCACGTGACACACCGCAGCCACTGATCTGCTTTTTTTTCTGATTTTTTTATTCAAAATATTCACAAATTTGTTAGCTTTGGCATGAAATATGTGATATTCCGATTGTCAAATATATGCAAGTGGAAGTTGAGAATGCCTCCTTGAGCATGTGTCTTTCCCTTGGCAAGCCAACTTGCCACTCCTGGAGTTGAAAGATTCCACCCTACGGGCTGGATACTCCAGTGTTCTTTCGTATGCTACCCCCTATCGGACCTCCCTTCGGGCGGGCATGGTTGATTCTCTCTCCTGAGATATGCTTCCCAGTGTACCTTGGTAATCCTACGTTAAGTGGGAGTCCTTCGTCCGTGCCAGTCTCACGACAGGAAGCTCACACTTACGCAGGGCACAGGAAAATAGACGAGAGGTGGCGTGATAAGACTGGTACCCCCATTTCGTCATCATAAAATGTAACTCAAAGTGACTACAAAAGAGAACGTCTCGGTTAGGTATGTAACCCTCGTTCCCTGAGTAGGGAATGGAGATCTTACGTCTTCCTGCCACCAACGTCAAGCTCAGCTTGGCTCCTCAGCAGGTAAACCTGTCTGCATTCTGCAAGCGTTCTTTCTTTTATACCCACGAGGTGGGGCGAAGTTACGCCATGCAAATTCCGCAGACCCATGGAATTTCTTTGCTATTGGCTCGTTTTTTAACCCTCGAGGGTGATAGGCCTCTATGTGAAATCATGATTTTGTCATCATTTGACATAACATCTCCATTCCCAACTTAGAGAACGAGAGTTCCATACGTAACCGAGACGTTCTGTTGAACTTTCTATTCATCAAAAAATCCTGAAAAAAAAAAAAAAAACTAGTGTTTTCAGTGTTTTCACAAAAATATGAAGCAGCACAACTGCTTTCAACATTGACACAGAAATGCTTCTTGAGCAGCAAATCAGCATATTAGGATGATAATGTGACACTGGAAACTGGAGTAATGATGCTGAAAATTCAGCTTTGGATCAAAGGAAGAAATTACATATAATATAACATATATTACAAACAGAAAACAGTTCTTTTAAATTGCAACAATATTTTACAATATTGCTGTTTTTACAGTATTTTTTACTCTGTCTTGGTCCTTTTTTTAAAATAGTAAAAAAAAAAAAATCGTATAAACCTCAAACTTTTGAACAGTTGTGAAAGGGAAAGGAGACTTTTTTGGGGGGTGAATTATTCAATATTGGTTTACCTACAACCAACATGCTGAACTGAAGAATCTATAATTTAATATCAAGGAATGACATTGGTTTGTGATGAGAAGATGCTGCCAGTATAAGCACTGAAGATGTTTTTAAGAAGACAGCTCTGGTATGATTCAGAGCCTTTGGGAATGCCTGCCAACATAACCTATGACACAATTAACCTGCACTTCTGCCCTTATTCTCCAGGCGCTTCTGCCAACAAGCACAAGCCTAATAATCATTAGGCAATTAACTCAAAGTGCTGCTCCATTAGCATCTTAATGTAGAGCTGAATCTCACAAGACTTGAACCTGAGTGCAGCTAAACATCTAAACACAGTTAGCAACCCACTATGTTCATGTAATCTTAGCACTAGCACTGCCTATAAATAAACTCCGGCTCTGCTGTTAACAGTAGGAAGAAGAAAAAACAAACAAACATTTCAACACTGTTTTCATTGCTCTGCAACACTAATCTGTATCTGAAAATGTCCATGTGTAATTATATTTGTCAGTGTCACATATCACATATAATAACGTGGCCGTTCATCACGGCAGTGGATAATGTGCAGACCAATATTAACAGCACTAAATGGTTTGTGTTTTTAACCGCAACCAATTTCAGGTGAAAGAAATTAGCATATGAAACCAATCATGCCAGCGAGGGGAACATTGAGCAGGATAAATGTGTGTTTTTATACAGCCTTACAGTAACAGCAGCTCATATTTACATCAGTCCAATCATAAGCATTTGTTTGGTTTATTTCATGAATACTCATCAGCCTAATTCTTTCAATTTACCAGCACGTCAGATTCCATTAACCGTGTTTGTCTGTGCTATGAGAAAAACACATTGCTTAATAAATTCTCAGCGCAAATGTCATAAAATAAAAAAATAAATAAAAATCTCCTAGAGCTAATTGAATTAAAAATGTTATAAACTTGTTCAAATGATGGATTTCTGAGATGAACATGAATGCCACTACCCAGCTAACAAAATTGTCCAAAACGTTTTGCTAACGTTCCTAATAAATTAGGAAAACGTTATTTCTGATGTTCACATGTTCATTTTTAAAATGTTTTAAAAACAATTGTTTATTGGTTGTACAAATGTTAAAGGAGAACTCCGGCGAACAATGAACCTTTGGTCTAATAAAACATCGGTACAAGGGAACATTTAATCATTTTGCAAACATTATGTTCAGTTTGAATGTACTCTGAAACGAGTAAAAATTTTAGACGAATGTCCAACTTTTTTTTATTTATTTGTTCATAACTTTGAGAGAAAGTTTGCCAAGGTTTTGAGGACATTCTCCTCTTAGCTGGGTACGTTATTGTTTTTACCAGTAAGAAGTCAAAGGATTTTGAGCCATGACTTTGAAGTGTCAAATAAGAAACATGGCAACTGATTTTGATCATATTTAAGTTTAGTCTACATGCATTTGTGTACTGATTATGAAACAGCAAATAGCTTGCCGGAAAATACTCATTTAAAAGGTTGTGACAGGCTACAGAAGAATTATTATGAGAACAGAATAAGAATGATTAAGAAAATAAATCAAGAATTAATCATATACCCAAAGCATATCCTTATTTTGTTGTTGCACTAAAAAGTGTCCCGTTGAGGAAAAAAAGAGGATGAAATAAACTCATCCTGTCCTTTCAATTTATTCTGACGAATCATAATTTCAATGTCCATAATTCAAATAGTAATAGTAAGTAGGAACTTCACTTTGAAGGCAGCATACAAGCAAAAGAGAAATGCGGCATTTAGCGTTAATGTGACGTTTAGATGGTAATGGAAGCGTTAGACTATTTGCCAATTTACAAATGAAAAACTTGACTGAAGCAAAGTAACAATATGAAAAACTCACCCCATCTTTTTTATCTCTCTCTAGAGCTCCGTTAACAAAATCCATCGCTACATCTTCATTTTCATCCAACCACTGGATAACAAACGGCTCAAACCACCTGCAGAGAGAGAATAAAGCAGTAAAGGCTGTGAGCGCTTTTGACTGAAACTGTAAAAAAGAGCCTATCACAAAATGTTATTCTGATCTTTTTTTCACCCTATTTCATCATCCACGTGATGTGAGAAACAAATTATGTGACAAAGTTTAATTCCTATTTTTATATGAACCAGGATTATTTTTGTTAACTTAAACTATTAAAGCATTTTTGTTCATTGAAGCTGAAATAAAATATAAATATTAGATAAAAAAATATGTACATTTAACGAAAATGTTTAATGTTGCCTTTTATACACTTTATATACTTTTAAAATTACAAACTGAAAAATTGCTAAAACGGAAATAAAAGAAATTAAACCCGTTATGACAGCATAAGCTTTTACATTGCTTTAACGTTTCAAAAATAAGTTAAGCAATTTTCAACTTTTTTATAATTTATATAATATTTTTAAGATATTTTTTTAAGTCAATTTAATGTAGTTTAAGTTGATTATACTTTTTTTACAGTGCAGTACTGTATACGGTCTAAAAAAGTAACTAAAATTAAAACAAAAAAGAATTGCTTGGGGGCACAGCACTGTTTACTCAAATAAACAGTTAAATGCTTTGACTTGTACAGGTGGGAAAAAGTGTGTTAAGATAAAGAAATTCAGTTGAGGAGACTACATAAATCTGTTTGAGACGTTCAGCAACAGTACAAACATTGTCTCACAAAAACAGTTCACCGACAATAGACAAACAAGCATTTGGTAAGCTGAAATGAGACAAACATCTCTTTAAATCAAAGCGTTGTAGATGGCCTGTGGCAGGCACAATCACACTAATAGCTCTGCTAATGTAATGAACCTGCGCTAGCTGTTTACTCAGATTGAGATGGTTTGCAGTCGCTCATTGTTTTTGACAGTAATAAGGGAATTAATATGATGGCATTTAGCTTGCTATCTTAAATATTGATCTGGATTGCTCTATGTGACGGTTTCCTAACCACACATTCACCGATAAGACTCTGATTGCTCAGGAAATTTGCAGATAGATCTATCTGCTGAGTGTTTTTGTTTTTTTTCATCTAGCCCTCCTTTTACCCTCAAATCTGATAACACTTTTTACCCTCTGGGGTCAATTTGACCCCAGTAATTTAAACTTCCACAATATGTTTTATTTTTTATTTTTTTTTACAAAGGTTTGTGTTTGTTGACTACTTAAGTAACATTTTAAGTTGACATCTTACTGATTTGACCTAAAATTGGAAAAAGTATAAATACATCTGGTGTTTTATTTGTTTTATAATATTTCTAAGTATAGATTTTTGTAATTTATAACATTTGGAAAGAAAAACTATTTATTTTATCAAGGATAGTAACACGAGTTATGTTTGGGGTCAATCTCACAAAAATGATGTTCCCTTTCGAGGGAACTCTACACTGCGTCGAGAATCGACACTTTGGGGACGCTCCCTAAGCGTGCGCCTCTGAAGTATGAATGAAACTAATCCAATCCTGATTGGTGTTGCGTCGTGACGTAACATGTGACGGCATACCCGGAAGTATAAAAGTGACGTTGTCACAACACACACTAGCTTTCGCTCTTCAGCAAGCGCTTTATGTTGAAACTGTCTGTCTTATTTGGTGTTGTTTGTCACTCAGTTTGAACTGGAAATGGCCAGCGAGCAATTTAAAAAGATGTGTGCATCTCTGCCCTCGTTATGTCACAGGTGGGGACGCACATGCTTTGTGTGTAAATTGTTTGGGAGCGCAGCATGACTTGTGCAGACTGTAAAGCACTTCCTATTAGAGTGCTGCGCTCCCGGCTGGCGTGCTTTGATGAGCACGGTCAGGCTTGCGTTCCCTACGTTTCTGGTCCCGCGTCCGTTGAGGCGGCGCGGCGATTGGGATCGTGGGGTTCACAGCGGGATCTTGCAGACGAGAATGAGACTGCTGAGGCACTTTCTCATTCATCGTCTGATGATCCCGTAGCCCCTGTGAGTGGCGCAGAAGTCCGCGCCGCGGCTTCTTCTGACCACGATCAGGTTCCGATACTCAGGCTCTCTGCTTCCAAGGAAGTAGACGTGCTCAGTATCGATACGGATGACCGTGAGTTAGGCGCGCCAGTTCACGGCCAAGCATATGAGGAACTGGTGAGGTTGTGACTCGTGCCGTGGCCAGACTGAACTTCAGCTGGCCACAAAATGAGCAGGGAATGCAAGTTTAAATAAATTGGATGAGCGTTTCATGCGGCACGGGTCACAGCCTCAGCGCCGGAGTTTGCCGTTTTTCCCCGATCTCCACTAACAGATCATGAGATCGGGGGATGAACCGCATTCGTCCCGTGTTTCCAAACCCAGTGTCCTAAATTCTTGCGTTTGCAGAGGCAGCGTGTAGATTACGAGTCTACTCTGCAATAAAGATTCTGTGACTGGGATCTCGCGTTTGCCGAGGCAGCGCGTAGATTTAATGTCTGCATTGCAATACGGAAACTTTGACTCGGATCTCTCGTTTGTCGAGGCAAATTTTCTCTTGTGAAAATTACGAGTCTACTTTCCAATAAGGGAAACTGGCCTGTTCTCCGGCGCTGTAACTTCAATCGTCGACAGGTTTAGGAATAAATAAATAATATATATATATATATATATATATATATATATATATATATATAGTAAATAAATAAATATATATAAGATATATATGTTGTCCCGCCGTTTTGAACGTTTCGGGCTACATCGATTTCCAGCGAACGCACACTGTGGTGTTCACCCCGACTGTGGTCACAAAATTTTTCTCGACTTTTTCCTGCCAGTCATCCGCTTCAGGGACTCGAAAGACACCCGAGGTCGGTCTCAAGGGGCTGGTTCCCTTAGTAGATTTTGCAGAATGGCTACACCTCCAATATATCTATATGGGGCCTGAATATTTTTAAACAGGAAACGATGTATGTTGCCCGCCGTCAGCGACGCTTCGGGCCACATCGGTTTCCAGCGAAAATATTATAACGAAGCATCGTTTATGGTCAAAACATCCATATCGACTACAGCCTGCCGGTATTCCGCTTCAGGAAGTCGAGAAAGATGTTCGCGAAAGACAAAACAGAAAAAAAAAAAAAAAAAAAAAAACAGAGGCCAGTCTCCAGAGGCTGGTACCCCTAGTATATTTTGTAGAGGCATGGTATCATCTTCCCAACATATCTGCATGGGTCCTACATATAATAGAATCAGGGTACAGACTGCAGTTTGCACACCGCCCCCCAAGTTCTCTGGGGTGGTACAGACTACAGTGGTCCCAGAGCAGGCTCAGGTGATGGAACAAGAAGTTCAAACTCTGCTGCTAAAGGAAGCCATAGAACGTGTTCTTCCTTCAGACAGGGGGTCCGTGTTTTACAGCCGGTACTTTATAGTTCCAAAGAAGGATTGGGGGTTAAGGCCAATTCTAGATCTCGGGGTTTTGTACCGATCTCTGAATAGGGAGGTGCAGGTTCGAACGGTTAACTCCAGTAATCGTGAGTCAGATCAGAGGACTGATTTGTCACGATAGATCTAAAAGACGCCTATTTTCACTCCATCCTTCCATGTCACAGGAGATACCTGAGGTTCGCTTTCGAAGCTTACCAATATCGGGTTCTTCCGTTCGGCCTAGCACGCTCTCCCTGCACATTCACCAAATTTATGGATGTAGCCCTTGCTCCACTGAGACTTCAAGACATCCATATATTGATTTATCTCGACGACTGGCTCATTCTGGCTCAGTCTCGGGAAATGGCAGTTCGGCATCGAAATGTCGTCCTTGGCCACATTCTGAAATTGGGGTTGAGACTCAATGCAAAGAAGAGTGTGCTAGAACCATCCCAGTGTACGACATTTTTGGGAGTCATATGGAACTCGATTACGATGTAGGCACGCATGTCTCCCGCACGTATCGAGTCAATTTTGACGATGGTATCCAGGGTAAAGCTAGGCCAGGAAGCAATTTCACTGTGAAGCAATTTCAAAGAATGCTGGGCCTCATGGCAGTGACATCCAACATCATTCCTTTGGGGCCTGCTACACATGAGGCCCCTTCAGTGGTGGTTAAAAACCAAGGGGTTTTCTCCCGAGGGGAATCCGCTTCGTATGATCAGAGTAACGCGCAGATGCCTTTGTTCTCTGAGAATATGGAAGAAACCTTGGGCCAGTGTTGGGAGTGTCATGTCGCCGGGAAACCGTTTCGACAGACGCCTCCCTCACTGGCTGGGGCGCGGTCATGGACGACCGTTTGCCAGGGGTCTATGGCAGGACCATCATCTTCTTGGCATATAAACTGCCTAGAGATGATGGCTGTGTTCAGGGCTTTGAGGAGCTTCCTCCCAGACATCAAAGGTCACCACGTCCTAGTACGGTCAGTGGTAGCCTATCTGAACCGACAAGGGGGAATCAGATCGCGCCCTCTGTGCAGACTGACGCATCAGATTATCCTTTGGTCCCAAGGGAAAATACTCTCTATCAGAGCAATGTATATTCCGGGGGTTCAGAATCAGGGGGCAGACATCCTGTTGAGAAAACCATACTTAGCTCCAGGGCTCCATCCACCAGGAGATTATATGACCTCAAGTGGAATGTGTTTGTCACTTGGTGTAGAGAACTTGGGTTAAATCCAGTAAACTGCCCGGTGGCTTCAGTTCTGGGATTTCTCCAAGATCGTTTCTCTGAGGGTCTCTCCCCGTCCACGCTTAGGGTGTACGTGGCTGCCATTGCGGTTTTCCACGCACCGTTAAGTGATGGGCCTCTGGGGAGGCACCAGTTGGTCATTCGGTTTCTCCTTGGTACTTGGAGGATGAGGCTGGCAGCCAGGTCCAGGGTTCCTGCCTGGGACCTGGCAATAGTTCTGGAGGGGTTATCCCTGCCCCCTTCGAACCTTTAGAGTCGGCTTCGCCTGAGGACTTAACACTGAAAATGGCTTTTCTCTTAGCAATTACCTCACTTAAGAGGGTGGGAGATTTCCAAGCCCTGGCAGTAATGCCAGCTTGCTTGGAGTT